ATGTGTGTGTGGATTGGGATAACAGTTGTATGAGCCCCTAATAAAATGTTAAAAAAGAATGACATTTCAAAAGGCAACTCTCTAAAAATAATCTAAATTAAATGCTCTCTAATACTTATTTTGGGAACTTCCAAAAAAATGTAAATGCTGGACATTCATTTGCCTTTTAAATAAGTTTTCATTGTTATTTCTTAGCTCAGTTGGCAACATAAAATTATCTAAATCTTGGCTGAAGTTTTTAAGAGTTTCTGCTACTGAAAACTCCTTGAGTCGCGGCTATTAAAAAAAAATCTTTAGGCTGCAATGATACTGAGAAACCATTGGAGGGCAGCAACAGCAAAACTTTCTCCCACACAGGGTAAACCGTATTAACACTTCTCTAATGCAGAACAGAAGCAAATTGCCACAGCTTTCTGACGGACAGCAGCTACTGGGCTTCAACTCTCCAACTTTGGGCTTGCATTTAAACGCTTATGCCACCGAGTTATCAAGTTTCTAATTAAAAAAATGTATTACAGATGTGTTTGAAGACAATTCCAACGCAATAAAACCCTTACTTTACTTTCATATTATCAATATTTCACACAAACAAATACAAAGGTAGTAAGACGCAGTAAAGCAGGCAAAACTAATGGTAGAAGCTCTTGGTCCTGCTATCCCGACAGAATAATAATTTTAAGATGAGTTTTCACGCTGTTCTAAGCCTCCTCTCTTTAAATAACTTCTTTATTTCTCAAACCAACTCTGTGGGTAACTTCTAGCCCCGCTAGATAGATGAGAGAACACTAAAATCTCCAAACTCACTTTCATCGAGCCCATTCCGATTCGCGACCCTGTAGAACTAAAGCAAGGAGTGTGTCATCTTCCCATAAATGAATTAGGCCAGTCTAACAACAGTTCGACTCCAAAGCGTGGGAAAGCAAACCATCCTAAAAGAGAATGCGCAGGAGACTGAGAGTTTAAACTCCACTTTGTTCATGAATCCAGAAAATACCGAACGAGCCCCTCCACCGCACGGGAGAGCCCAACTGAAACAAACAAACAAATAAAAACGCTCAAGAGATAGACACTAGCTTGCGCAAACACCCCTAGAAAGGCACCCCAGGCTGCCATTTCCTGTGCGTCCCGCCAGCCAGACCTAAACGAAGCCTTTCACCTTACCTGGGCTCCGTGTCCGCGGGTCCCTCTCGCCAAATCCCCTCCATGCACTAGCTGAAACCGGCCCCCCACAAACACCACTCTGCGTTTAAAGGAAGCTGAAGGTCTGATGGAAGCCACCGCACCGCCAGTATCAAGGTGCATAAGGATACCCACAGCCAGAATCTTCCCCTCCAGGGTCTCCGGGCTGATGTGCCTCCCGGAGCACTCCAGCAGTTTCCAGAGCCCTTGGACTCCCATGGGGCACGGGTGTCCTCGGCGGGACTCGGGAGCTGGATCCGCGGGAGACAGGCGACCACGGAGGAGCTCTTCCAAGCGACTGCCTTTTTATCTTAATTCTTCTGCCAGTTACACCACCGCCACAGAAAGGGCTCCCGGTTCCTACTTTGGAAAGAGGCTGGGCTGAGGTGGGCTGGGGTGGCATCCACGAGAACCTGAAAAGGGGAGCAGTGGGAGGGAGGGGCATAGATGCACGGCTGGGTAATTTCCAGAAAGTAAGGACCGGAGAACGGCCAGCGCAGGTCCCGACCTAGCCCAGCACTTTGGTCCCCAAAGTTTGTACTTATGATGGAAGACGAGCCAGGGATCGGCACGGGCGAGAGAAAGATTCCGAAGAGGTACCCAGGCTGCACTAGGCCATACAGTTGCCT